GAGAAGGCAAGAGAAAATCAAAGAGAACCCAAAGAAAACGTTCGTTTAGTCACAAGAACGCATTGCCTGACATCTAGCTCTAAATTAGCAATATGTTGGAAGCACAAAACGTTCATTGATGCATCCATCTGTTCGACATATATCTTTTTATCGAGGGAAACGTTACCGATAGTTTTAAAATAGTGTTTCACAGTCTATTATCAGTAGCTGTAAACGGAAAACGCGGACTATATGTTACCAACAGAAGTTACCTAGCAGACATGAACGTTACGGGGAATTATAGTATTACCATCGTTTCATATTTCCGTTTCCTGCGGAAAACATCTACGTAATAATATAAAAATAAGTATGCCTAGTTACTTTTTAAAATCTTGTAAATTTAATCCAAATAAAAATGAACACGCACGTGTCAGTTATACCACAATGTATAGTAAATATTGGGCAAATTGAGCCTTATTAGTCCTACAAGCAAGAGGATCTCCTGACAGTCGGAGAATGCGATGTTTTGCATCCGTACCGCAATAATGACGTTGTTATACGGTGTGATTATGAAGGAATGTCGGAAGCATCGCTCAGATTAACTCCGAGCTAACGGATTAACGAGATACAGTTAAACCGACGGAATCAGATCGACGCGTTGCGCGCTTTGGTCTCGCGCGATCGATGCGCGCTTCGTAGAGCGAATACATCGTCAGCAGCCGCATTATATTGTTGCATTTTGTATGAGAACGGCCAGCCGGCACGCAAGAAGCTCGAGCCGATGCGTTCGAAATAACTGACCGCGTGCGACTTGGCACTTCCGGCTGAGAGGCCGCGAAAGCCTCCTTCGCCACCTCTACACGAGACCATCGTCTTATCTCGTTCCTTCAATTCCACGCAATTAGCGCTCACGTTTAGTTCATCTGATATTTTCATTCATCAGCGATCATCAGAAATTTCCTAAAATAATTCGACCGTCTCGTAATCAAGGTTTCTTAAAAGAAACAAAAGTGCAAGAGAATATAATTGGTGAATCTTTTAATTAAAACGATGGCTCGAGAAGAATAACAGGAAAGTAGAGGCATCTTTAAAGTGTCCGTTAGCAGTCATCTTTTAATTGATTCCATTCTTTTCTTGAAATAAATTCCCACAGGAAGTCGAATCATTATCGGACCATGTGTATTTACGGGTGAACAGGAAAATATTAGTATCAATTTCAGATTTATATCCTCACATATAAGCAAGAATAATAATCTTATGTAAAGATCAAACTTACTCTTACGCGAGGAAATTCTTTACAGTTGCAAAAATAAAAATATTAGGTAGAAAGAACAATCCCGAGCAGCACATATTGATTGGCTAAATGTTGCCCAACGTTTGGTTAATGTTGAGCAATGGTTAGCCAACTAATTTATGCTGCTCAAAATATCTTCAAATTAAGAATCAGTTTGATCATTCTTTCTATCCAATATTTTTTTTCCCTTAATTCATAAAAATTTTTCTTATGTAATAAGAATATAAATCTTAAATTAATATTAATTTTTCCCGTGTAAATAATATATATATATATATATATATATATTTATTTATTTACTTATTTATTTATTACTGACTACAATGATTTAGAATTAGTTAGAATCAATATTAGAATAAAATCAGTGTTTAAATACGACTCTTAGATTTACAATCATAAGAAACCAGGCTAATAAGTGCCAAGTAATTGGTTGCGAGATAATTTTAATAAATAATTGTCTTCCAATATTGTCAAAAAAGTTTTAATAATATAAACGTTTCAGTCTTAATTTACCCTCCTTAGCACATATTTATGTTAGACGCATACTTGGAATTAGCAATCTTCTGATTTAATATTAGAATAATTACAGCCGCCCAGATATAACGCCCAATAAAATATGGCGGTCGTTTAGTGTAGACGTTTAGTGGAGACTACCGGGATGCGGTTTTGGTCACTCGCCTTTGACAAAGCGCAGACAACGACCTGAGTAAGGCAGATATGACTCATTGCCTAGCTGTATGCCGACCGTCTCGCTTTGCGAATTCGACCCATCGCCAGGCGCCGCACGCAACGACAAAATTCACGTCGGGCATAATTAGCTTATTAAAGAATAAATAATAAAATTCGTCTCTTGTCTGATTGCATGGAATACTAATTTCATAGTTTTTATAGCCGCACTTTCCGACATTTCTACGTATACTGCGATTTAAATAATTTGATGAAAATTGTTTTTCTCTCTTCTTTCTTCCCCTCTAAAAGGAGTTTTTTATTCGAGTGATTTTGTCGTTGAAATGACCCGTTATGTTTAGGAAAATGCAGGTCTAATCTCTTTAGCGCTGCAAGTGTATGCGGGTTAATGTTAGATAGAAGACGCGTGATAACGGTGAATAATAGCTGTATTATAATAACTATTATACGCACATGCATAATACACGCACAATACAAGCTACTTCCGCTCGGAAACAAGCTAGCAACGTGGCCACGCGATTGTGCTTAATTCCACGTCGACGGATTCGACCACGAATTTTGATTCGAGCGAACATCGTCACGCGATTGAACTTCCTTCCTCCCCGAGTGTCGCGCGAATGACCGTCGCGGATGTTGACGGGAGTCGAGAAGAGACGTTATAATAATAGACGGAAACTTTTTACAACAGCGGGAGATCTTATGAAGAAGTTCGAGCCGCAGCTGGAGACGAGTCGCGACTATGGTCTCGATTATTATCGTTCCTAACGATAGCGACGACGACGGCCGAAGGAAAACGGAATGTCGCTTCAAGAATGAGTCACGAGATAAAGAGTTTCAACATCTTTATACCCCGACGCCGCTGTACTTTCGGAATATTCTACGCGCGACGCCCGAACTAAGAATTCACGGTATGTAGCCGCGCGAACTCGAACCAATTATATGATTATTCTCGTACATTGCAATGTGAGACGGCTAGCTATAACACTGAGAGAAAAATATATAAAATATAAAAAATATTTCTTTTGCGTGTTTTTCATGTATTATCTCAGATAGCGCAAAAATATTCTATGAATATTCTTATGAAATATGAATCCCGGGAAAAAAATTTTCTATACATAATTAAGTATAATTATATATAAATGTATATAATTATATATAAGGCGTCATATGTAAAATATATCTATATAAAAATCTGTATAAAAATATATAATTATATATGAAGTAATTATATGGAATTAAATATGGACATATATATATAAATATATATATCTATATATAATGATATATACACATATCTGTCTACAACATTCGATAAAACATCTTATACACTTTTATCGAATATTTATAGTAATGTCATTCGAGTATATCAAGTACATACTATAAATATATAACAATGTTTTCAGTACATTCTATGAATGTATAAATATTTGTAACGGCGATATTCATAGAACGTTCATAGAATATTCTTGTGCTATCTGGGATGTAATGCGATTTCACCGAAGAGGGTTAAATATGACCGAAACATTTGGATTTGATTTGAAGTAAACACATGTGACGATTTAAGAAGTTTTGTTTGTTTATTATGACACTAAATAAGTTAACCGTACTTGGCTTCTCATGGCCCTATATTTTTAACTTTGACAATTCCAGTGTATATTGAGGCTTTAATATAAATATTTAGTATTTGTATGAAAGAGCATGTGAAATATTTGAGCGATATACTTTCATTTAATTATTATATCACCGATTATGTAAAAGATATTTCGAATATATGAATAAGATAAATTAAAATGACCAGTTAGGAAAGTTTTGTTTTCCGCAGTTTTGGACAAATTCCGCGGAAAAATTAAAGGCAACTTTCTAACTATTTTTATAGCTAGGTGAAACGATAAAACTGTGAAATTATAATGAAGAAAGTTACGTTAATCTTGTTTATTACATTGCTTCACAATTTAACGCGTTGCAGCCGCGACGGATATTAACAGCGTGCACGCGTTGCCCCAGAATTCATATGACCGAAACGCTTCCGTTAAACGTGATACCTTCGCCTGCATTCAAGCAAGAGGAAGCACTTTCCAAAAAAAGCCTCCGTCTCCTGTTACAGTTCCGGTGAGTGCGCTCTGCGAGGTAATCCGATAGAAAAAATAATCGCTCGTCCGTATTAGATCGTATCTTACTTCGACGCATACAAGAGTCGTGATCAATCTGCGATTTCCGTGAAAATCGATACACAGCGATAATTGTTGTGTGCCGCTTATAGGATTAATTTCGCGCTTTCGTAATCTAGAAATGTCGACTAATAAGAAGAGAAATGATCATCTTTTAGAATTTTTGTGCGAGGAATTTACGGATAAAAGATAAAAAGAAACCGGATTGTGGAAGCATAGGGTAGACCGGGGCCAGAAGTTAAACGAGTTAGTTATCTTAAAGTTTATATCTCGGTAAATAAATAAAGGAGTAAATAAAATATTGTTCTCTATAGTGTAAGTTGATAATATCGTGTTGGTAGTATAAAATAAAAATTTTGTACAGCGCTGAACGAAAGTTTTGTCTGCATGGTTGACACGATTCCAAATATTGTAGGCTTCTGAAACTAAAAAACGGCGAAACTATTATTAAACTATAAACTTGTAGCTATCGTCCCTGCCGCGATGGGAAATAAAAACGATTTTATGCACAAATATATATGTATGTATAAGGCTACTATTTTTTTTCAAGCTAACGGTTGCAGCTACATAAAAATGTATACGATATTATAGAATTTCTCGTATACAGTTTTTAATTATAATTCGAACATAAAAAGTGTGACTTCTGGCTCCGGCCTTCTTTACACTCGATGATACCACCGTACCGTCGGTTTTCCACCCTTTCGAAAACACCCCGACGCTAAGACCAACCCCCCATTACTCTCGTACCGCTTATCACCATCTTTCCGTCTACCTCCCCCCTCCGTCGCTCCGTCGCGACGACGGATAGCTCCCCCCTCCGTCTGCCTCCTCTCCTAGGCCTACCCCGTGATCGTCCACCGCGTCCGCAGCTTCGAGTGGAACTCAGGACGCCGACACGGGCGCGTTTCCCTCGTCAGTCGTTCACGCTCGTCATCATTCGTAGGCTCGACTCCGTTCGCAGGCGCGACGGCCGGCTGCACTTCTCCTCGGTTGCACTTAGCTGCACACGCTCCGCACTCCGTTCCAACACGTCGAGCGCGCACGCACGGCACCGGCGGATCGACCCACGTACGCGACCCAGAGGAACGCGCCCAGGGCCTAGAGAGAGATAGAGGAGAGAGCGAGGAAGAGAAAGAGAAAGAGAGAGATCAGCTGTTCCCTCGCGACACTTTTCTCCGTTGAAAGGAAAACAGGATGAGGGAGATCGTGCATCTGCAGGCCGGACAATGCGGCAACCAGATCGGCGCGAAGGTAGGTCCACCGACCGTGTTCTAAAGAAACGTCTCTTCCGTTTCATCGAGCGTGCGAGGCCGGGTCTACGCGAAGCGTAACGAAGTCGCGCGACTGTATCTTAATATCGGATTCCAGCCGGCAGGCTCGAGATTGATTTTTTCCACGGCGAGACTCAACGGCGGACCGTCGTATTCGCGAGAAAATCCTTTCTTTCTGGATTTCTCAGTATCCGATTTATATAAAGTTCTTCGAGGAGTAACAAGACGCGTTTCGGTCGATCAGAATCTATTAGTTGGAAATCGATCATTTCTCAATTTTCAGTTAGCTTCATTAATATTTAATTATAATTTTAAAGTTTCGGAGGAAACCGTTTTTCCCTATGTTTCCACGGATTTTTTTTCGTTTCTTATTTTCTTTACAAAAAAAAGTAAATATGGCAGATTTTAACTGAGAATATGTGAATTTTTCTAACTGAACTTTTGTACCTTTGGGACAGAAATCGAAGAAGCGGAAAATTTGGGGAAAAACGTTTTTTTTTAAACTAACTCTAGATTACATAAATAAAAATATTAAGTTGTGGTAAGTAATTTACTAAATTAACTAATTAATTAATTAATATTTCCTCGGACCGTGAAGTTATATTGCTAAACTATAACTTCGAAGATTTAATGTTGATAATATCGAATGTTTCAATATTAAAAGTTCACGGTGAATTCTTTATAACCAGTTGATAAACCAAGAGAAGCGGTCTTGAGCTCGGGGCAAACTTTTAAAGCGACTTTTAATGCATCTCGCAGTGAGAAAGTACGGACTGTCAATAGCTTCATCGCCTAATGATTTCGGGGTTCAATAGTTTCTACACCGAAAGCCGAAAGTATGAATGAAAGCCGAGATTCATTAGCGTGTGTCCGACTGGATATGGGGTGTTGCAGAGAGGCGTCGATGAGACGAGAATAATTTATCTGTTTGCGAAGATACTTGCGTCCGGAAATCAGTTATAAAACTTGGTTTATGTCGCTGAAACTACGGGCCGCCAATTAAAGGGAGAACAAACCGAGCATTATGACTCACCGTCTTCGGAGTATCGATTCTGGTACATTCGCCATAATTTCCGGAAAAATTGCGCTCCCCGAGTCCTTTTCTTGTTCTCGTTACATCGCATGCGTCACGGTGAAAAATCGGAAACTATTCGGTATCTCACCTATTTTCGATAGTGTGCAGAATATTCAGTGTTAAACGGTGTTACACCTGACAAACATGGTGACGTTCTCTTCGCTAACCCTTTAAAGCCCACACATCGATTCTATTGGAGTAAAATGTTATAATTTATAAAATCGTCTTAAACGATAATGACAATTATTTTATCCGAATAAAATTGATCGTCGAGATAGTACGATTTTCTGAATGTACATAATTATGTATATTGGATATTTAAGGTATAAAAATGAGAAAATATTAAAATTGTCTTATATAAAAAATATTTATTTTCCACTTGTTTATAATATAGTCGTTGAAGAATCAAATTTTTATATATAGGATATATTTACGTTCTTTCACAGATAACTTTATATAAATTCAAGCGTCGACGACTTTGCTCTATACATGTGATTGCATATGTTGATCTTCAGCTGGACAAAAACTATTTTACTAGTTAGGACGGAGAATATAGGATGGATTAATAATATTATATCGACGGAATTATTACTTTATCAATATATATAGACAAATATTTAGGTTATCTATATTTAGACAGATATTTAAATTATCGGTTTATATAGACGAAAATTTGGGGAAGGTTAATGTACACTAGGTTTTAAATGGTTAAAAACTGAAACTGCAACAAGTCTTTTTTCTTCCACTGAACATCGCAATTTTCGAAAATTTTCAAACGGACATCGCGGTACGACTATGCTTCAAGAATCAATTTAAAATAACATCCAGTTAAAATTAACCGAAAAATAAAGATTCGTTATTCGTGTATTTTCCGAAAGCAACTCATGATAACCTTCAATGACTTAGTTGAAGAGAACTAGAGAGACATTATGTCAGTGCACGAAATGCGTGTTTTATCGAACAGCCAATGCTATCTTGAACGCAGAAATTACGACGCAGAAATTACGCAAAGAAAAATATCATTCTATTGTTAAGAAAAGTGACTACAGTTTACCTTCCTTCTCTGAAGCAACGTTTATTCTCAACAAAGCATTTTTTTTCTCGATAATAATCTTCAAATATACTCATTACAAATTTTAGGAAAGCTCATTATCACATACTCAAAAAAAGAATTGACTCTCTTGTTAAGAATATTATAAACTTTATGAAAGAAAAGTTAAATTTGATTAATTTGAGCAAGCACAAACCAAAGTTCGTTTTAATTTAATATTTTTAATTGAAGTACTAAACATACCGGGATACAGAATATATTTTGAATAAATTTGATGCTTATGATGAACTTGATACATATTTACAGATATGTGTATAAACTTATGAAATACTCGAGACAAGTAGTATTTACTTGAACGCATTATATATTTTTCTGTAAGTACAATGTGCTTCTAACACTCAGATGTAATTAGCAAGACATTACGATACATCGTTCTGATCTCTGAATAATCTTGTAAATTTTCCCCACATCCGCGCTTTATCTCTCTTTCTCTCTCTCTTTCTCTTTCTTCCCTCTCCCTCTCTTTCTCTTTCCCGTTTGCTCGCTCAGCTATATCGGTACCCCCGATGGTGATTGCTCTCGGCGGAAATCGGCGAGAACGAGCATTAAGTTGTACCCATAAAAAAAGCGAGATGCAACCTTTCTCGGTGGTATCGTCTGACCGTGACTGTAATCGAGTTGAAGATAAGGCGCGTAACGAGATGGAATTTAAAGCCTCTCCGCTGTACTCATCTCGCCATTGAGAGAGAGCCCCCTCTCCTATTTTGTACGGCCAAAGTGCGTAAAGTGATCCAAGTTTTAATCGCGCCGGCCCGCACGCGGGGGACAGGGGCAGGAAACGACGATCGCGTACTCAGAGAGAGCACTTAAAATTCTGCAGTAATCGTTTCTACCGTTCAATGGCGTGAAAACACGTGGACGCACGAGCAGTCGGCTCGTGATCCATTTTTCAAAATGAGTCGACTGTTTGAGAAAGCTGATGAATCGGTCTACATGAATTTTCGGTAAAATAAAATATGCTCATAATATACAATTACGAGATTCATGATGTACAAGTACGGATTTTGAATGAAATAAACTTAATATCTATTATAAAAAAATATTGCCGATGTGTAAGTTGTTAATTGTTTATTGTTTGTTTTTCTTACGAAAACGTGTTATTACACAACGGGAAACTAAGATTATTACGCGAGAAGCACTTCAGATTCGCTAATCTCATTGATCGTGTTCATTGGCGTGACAACTTGGGGGCTTACGATATACTTGCGATGTTCGTTGTTGCAAGAATTATAAATAAATTTCAATGTTTTGTTTTTTACATATGTTTGAGAAGACAGTTTTGTATTCTCTCCCAATTATTTTCTCATATATTTTAATGTTATGTGTTCTATTTATTGCTTTAGAGAAAAGAACGTCTTGCTAATAATCTCGCTACACTCTTTTTATACCATCCTTAAAATTTCGAAGATATTTTGATATAACTTCAATGAAGATTGTGTTAACGATCTGCCTGGAATTGTCGTGATGATTTAATAAAATTTATCCGAAAGTAAACTTTCCGTGTTATCAGTGTTTGCCTTCGATAAAACGTCTTATCAAGTTCCGTATAATTTTGTTGGAATTAGAACTTTTTTTAACACAAGGTATTGCTCATCGAGCAATGACGCACACTAGATGGCGGACTGGAATACCGAGTGAGTCAGAAACATTTTTGCAAAACAAGCTAAAGATCAAATAGATTCGGTAACAAAATGTTAATGAGAAGTAATATAACTGAATAACAGTGTTACATTGAATCATTAACGCACTATGACACATTTGTCTTATCTGAAGCAGTGTTAATTAATTAATTAATTAAAACAAGCTCTCACGAGATAAATTTTCTTTTTTTAATAATTATGCTATCACAAATAACCATGGCGATCGATATTTATCTATGATATATAAATTTTTGTATTTCCGGAGATTTGAAAATGAACAACTTTGATTGAATGAAGTTGCAAACGCGAAGAAAATGCGTTACCTCACCTAGCGAAATTCTGTTAATTCAATTTTTGCAATCAGTTGCGTTTTACTCCTGTCGATTCAGCAAGTGGTGCGCTCGAACAACCGTCTTCCTTGAAAAGGATCGTCCCTTCACTCCGTCCTAGATATAATTCTCAGACCGGCATTGTTTTCCGCTTGAAAGAATTTAACGATCGCAGGAAGCAGAAATGATGCCTCCGTGGAATTACAGGCCATTGTGATCTATGATATCTTACAATGATGTTTCTCGGCCGATTGCAACAGTTGTTGGAAATTCGCGAAAGCCCATGTGCACACAGAGAGGCACACGGTAAATCGGCTGAACATGTTGCAGTAACTCGATTACGGTTTCGCATTCTGCTCGCCTATAAACTGTAGCACCGATGGAAATTTTTTAAAGAGCCTAGTGAAATCTAATATCCTTCTTGTAAGTACAGTAAAATCATTTTAAATGACTAGCTCTCTATTCTAAAAAGGATCAATAAAAGTCTATGCACTGACAAAAGTCTATGATAATAAATATAATTATGCAATATAATGCATTAAAATAAATTAATATTTGATACATCATTAATCTAGTGTGAATGATATTCACAAAATATATCATAATTACTAATAATTGTCATTAATTTTACCATATATCATAGTTAGAGATGAAATGACTCAATCTGACGATAAGTTACTATAAGTTATTCGGTAAATTACGATAAATTACTCGATAATTTTGGAAAACCAGTAAAAAAAAGTAATTTAGAAAAAAATTGCAGAAAGAAAAAGTTTTGATATAAAACTCAAAAGGGACATTTAGGGGTTAAAATGAATAAAATATTTTATTTAACTCATATTTTCCCTAAAATATGCTGTGATACTGTATATTGATATATTATATATAGCACATAGTAACCAGAGAACTTAAAAGAAATTTTCTTAATTTTCAAAACAAAAGACGTGTGTAGTAAAATTTTATTCAACTTTTTTCTCTTTCTTTGGAAGATAATTTTACTTTTTAAAAATTTCAGTCTTTAATTTTTTCACAGCGCAGACAAGTCTGCCAAATGAACAGGACGGTATTCCTGATTGAGAATCGCTACGCGATTTCTGCTCTATCAGAATTTAACTAGAAATTTTCAAATTTGCCCTCGTCACACAAAGAGCACAACCGCTGCTCGGCAATGAGCGAGTTCGAGGGAAATAATTTCCCGCTTCCTGCGCTTCGCGCGATAACGAGCGCGGTGCAAACCGTCGCGTATGTACGCGAGTGCTGCACGGCGAGGATGCATTTAGAATAATCGGAGGGTCGCGTTTCGGCGAGGCGGCCATGGCGACCGGCTCGCTATTAATAGAAGGAGAAAATAGTCAAGACAAGACAAATGGAGAGAGGAGAAATGTTTAACGGGAGGGTAGACATGAGCCAGGGGGCACAGGCCGCGTTAATTCCGTACGTCTCTATTTTTGGATGTCGCGCGCGCCTGTTATCCTTGTCCTCGGGCTGGGGCCGCGTTTAAAGTACGCTGCCGGATCGGAGGGAAGTCGCCCTTCGCTCGGCACCTCGAGTGGCTTCACGAGTATAACAAAAAACGGCGAGGACTATATTTGGGAAATGATCGAGGGAGGGTATTCTCCCCCGCGCTATTTTTACGCCGAGCTATTAAACGCCCCTCTGCCCCCGTTCGCTTCGCTATCGTTAAGTCAAATCTCTAATGACGATGTGAAGAGGTGCGGGACACTAAAGCGTTGATGATTTATCTAACGTAATGTTAACGGATCACGTTGCAGTTCTGGGAAGTTATTTCCGAGGAGCACGGCATCGACCAGTCGGGCATTTATCATGGAGACAGCGATCTGCAGCTCGAGCGAATCTCCGTATATTACAATGAAGCATCTGGTAAGGGCATGTTAAACATTATGGCCTCGCGTGCCTCCCCTCCTTGAATACAAGCGGAATGCAATCCACCCGGAGCCCGAGCCGTCGTTCAAATTTATCGTGTATCGTATCATAACACACACATACACTCGCTCATGCTCGGAGTGGATCCTTAATGGATTTTGAAAAAAAATGTCCGCCTCGTATCGTGCCTCGTGTAATTCGCTTCGAAATGATTCAGGCCCGACGCGAAATTTAACGAGGAGCCTGCGAAAGCGTAGTCCTTACAAACTGGGCAGACGGAGCGTTTGTGCTGACGCACACATCGTGATCATCTTTGTGTGATAATCTTTACAATGTCTCGAGAGTAATCTTCTCACGTATATGGTGACACACATCATAGTTAATAGAAATCAGGTTACTCGATGCACCTGACTTCTCGGTGAAAGGATGTGCGCGAGAACGAGTGCGGTCTAAAATAGAAACGCCGGGAATGACGGGGAAGCGGACATTCGCGTTAACATCTGACGCTCCGCACGCTCGATACGACGATAATAGGTCTGTACTTTTTCACCAGAGTAAACTTTATAGAACTTAAAAAGAGACACATATGTACAGTTGAGACTTAGTGGAAGAAAGAAGAGAATTACGCTGCAAATTCAAGTGTGTAATTTTACACATTTCGTGCAGTCACTTTTTACGCATTTGCAATTCACACGCGTTACTAATGTAATTTTATACACATAAGTGTGTAAAATTCTAACACTAACACGCGTAAAAAGTGACTACATGTAAAATTACACACTTGGATTTGCAGTGCAAGCTAGTATGGAGCCAGTCCAGAAAAAGAACAGATCTAGTAATCAATGGCAGAAACGGAATCAGATTTCTCGATTCACGGCAGAGAAAGAGAGAGAGAGAAAGAGAGAGGACTGTTTCGGATGACGGGCGCTCGCGGCGAGGATTCTCTCGACACGCGTCGAAAATAGCAGCAACGAGAAAGGTAGAAATGCACACGCTGTCCCGCGCCGATACTCGGCGCGATGGAGAAAAGGAGCGTCAGGACGGTGCGTTTAACGCCGAAAATAACCGCTTTGTATATTCGGACGTATGTATGTATGTTGGAGCCGCGCACGCGGCTACCCGGCCTCAGAATTTGTCATGCGTTTTCGTTCGCACCGCAGAAATGAAATTATTTCCAGGAATGCAACGCGCGAAGAGCGTGTTCCACGCTGAAAACAGTGCGGTTAACGAATCGCTGAAACTCACGTACCTGCTGCGTAAATGAGTTGTCGAAAATAGATTACAACGCACGACAGATTTATATTGCCTTCTCTTTCCTGTATTTTGTCTTCTCGCTATATTTTTAATTTATATTTTAAATTGTTAGAGGATAATTGTTAGACGATAATCCGGTTATGCTAACTTTTATCGCTGCCGTGACAATGTTTTGCTACAACAGCAGAATTATTTTTTCCTTGTCAATCTTCACAAATCTTCTTGCTGTCGCTATATCAATAAACAATTTGCTGTTCTCCGTGCAAAATTTATTTTCTCCATGCACGCTCCGATGACGATATTGATTCGCGAATATGAAAATAAAAAATGTCGTGTCAGTGATGGATGAAATTTCATTAGCAGTGCTAACGAAAAATGACGGTAAACACATTTCATCCCTCATTAAATGCGATTACACCGGCCTGCGTTAAAATTAGCTCTTCCGCCGCAGTATTACTCGATTATCTCTCATCGCACAACGTTAGCGTCTATATTATTACGACTGTTGAGTTAGCACTGCTCATTTGCAAACTACGCAGGCATGCGGGCCCATCCGTATACGGATTTCCGTTGACCATTAAGGTCGGTGTGACTTTTCGGTAGAATGACAATAGCTGCCGATTTTAATATGGACGCACCGACGCCTTGTATCATCTACGCGTCGCGGCAACTATTGAATACAATTGTTCTTATTGACGACACTCAGGTGCTCGAGAATATACATAACGGTGAAGGAGTTAGAAGTTTCCTTATAGGCCTCTATCTAACAGAGCCTCATTATATTAGTCGTTTTTCCGAGAAGTTTAAGTAATCCTAGATTTTTTTTAACTTTTGTGCTTTTCACACTCAGAGAAAAGTACGTAGTTGCGGTAAATATACAGGTGACGTTTCTACATTGAAAGAAATTATAACCATTTTTGATCTCAAATATACCTTCTTTGTAGTTTTGATCAAAACATTATTGCCAATATTTTTATATTTTGTTCTACTACGGTATTTTAATTTCTATATCTATTATAAAAATAATTCAGATGTTATTTGATCACACTTTTATAGCTACAGCGATGACCTTTTCCTCTGAATACAAGTTGTCTGAGTCTAAATGTCTAAATAAGACGTATTAATGAATTCTCGAATCTGGTTCAGAATTATTATTTATCCTTGAAGAGGCTCTAAACGGGTTGAGATGGAAATATTCGTTATATACTAAATGTGAACATCGTCTTTCTTTCTTATTAAATACTGTTTCGCTCTCTAACAAAATGGTGTTTGTCTCTCGCTCGCCTTAAATTGTTTTCATCTTGAATTTCATCCTTCCGTTCCAGTCGCGACGTCCACAAACGGGGGAAAATACGTGCCGCGCGCGATCTTGCTGGACTTGGAGCCCGGAACGATGGATGCCGTTCGTTCCGGCGCTTACGGGAAACTCTTTCGACCGGACAACTTCGTGTTCGGGCAATCCGGCGCTGGCAATAACTGGGCGAAGGGTCATTACACCGAAGGTGCCGAGTTGGTGGACTCCGTCCTCGACGTGGTGAGGAAGGAGTGCGAGAATTGCGACTGCCTTCAAGGCTTCCAGCTCACTCACTCGCTGGGAGGTGGTACCGGATCCGGTATGGGCACCTTGCTGATCTCCAAGATCCGCGAGGAGTATCCTGACCGAATCATGAATACTTACTCGGTAATGCCATCGCCCAAAGTGTCCGACACAGTTGTGGAACCTTACAACGCGACGCTGTCGGTGCATCAATTAGTGGAGAACACCGACGAAACCTATTGCATCGACAACGAGGCCTTATACGACATCTGCTTCCGCACATTGAAGGTTTCTAACCCGAGTTACGGCGATCTCAATCACCTGGTCTCGCTCACGATGTCCGGAGTAACCACTTGCCTCAGGTTGGTGTGATGAATAAGCAGCAAACAATAAGCGGACTCGTAGGAGAATAACTTTCACTACATATGACACAGTTCTCATAGATTTTTTTTAATCTATGTTGAAATATCTTCATAATAAGCATCTTCATGATAAAATCCTGCAAGAGCGATTTCATACTAATCGATATCGCGTTAATTAATTTTGCAACAATTTATTAATTTGGCTCTTTTGTTTGTCTGCTAGAAAACCTATTCTCAAAATTTCTTAAAGTGAAATTCCACTCGAAAAATAGAGTGACGGCTAAGTTACTCAGATTCGAATGACACGGGTTAATAAATTTTATGTCATAAATTGTATCCTTTTTGAATCTTCATTTTCTACTTATACTTATATGTTAAAATAAAAAATAACAATAAAAAATTATTTAACTACAGTTCAAGAAATATAAATTATGTTGTTGTAACTGTAATTTGTAAATGTATTTGTATTTGTAAATGTAATTTTTACAAATTAATAGTATGAAAATTATGAAAATTAAACAATTCGAAGTCGAAGAGCAAATCGATTGAAACATTCGCTCGTACGGAATCAAAGTCCACTCTAAGCTTGAGTGAAACATTCATTGCCGCAATTTCGAGGTGGCGGTATTTTCACTATCACTTCGTGAGAAAATACTGCCACTGCTCGTTTATTTTGAACAAGATTCCATTCCAAGAAATTGAGGTCCGTTTACAACGCTGTCATTCTATCTTTATTATTCATTAGCATGGCAAAGAAAGATAGAATGAACTTAGATTGTACGAATTTCATACGTCCAAACAAACTGTTTTTCAGGTTCCCCGGCCAGCTGAACGCCGACTTGCGGAAGCTCGCGGTGAACATGGTGCCTTTCCCACGCCTACACTTCTTCATGCCGGGCTTTGCGCCGCTCACGTCCAGGTCCATGCAACAGTACTCCGCGCTTTCCGTGCCGGAGCTCACCCAGCAAATGTTTGACGCGAAGAACATGATGGCGGCCTGCGACCCTCGCCATGGCCGGTACCTTACCGTGGCGGCCGTCTTCCGCGGCAGGATGTCCATGAAGGAGGTCGACGAGCAGATGCTCAGCGTGCAGAACAAAAACAGCTCATATTTTGTCGAGTGGATACCGAACAACGTGAAGACCGCGGTCTGCGACATCCCGCCGAAGGGACTGAAGATGTCGTCGACCTTCATCGGCAACACAACCGCCATTCAGGAGCTGTTCAAGAGGATCTCCGAACAGTTCACGGCGATGTTTAGGAGGAAGGCCTTCCTGCATTGGTACACTGGCGAGGGTATGGACGAGATGGAGTTCACCGAGGCGGAGTCGAACATGAACGACCTGGTGTCCGAGTACCAGCAGTATCAGGAAGCCACGGCGGAGGAGGACTTCGAGACGGAGGAGTGCGCCGACGATTTCGAGACCTGCGAGCAGGAATGAGCTGGCTGAGACTGGCTCCCTTCTTCTCTGGATTTACCTTCAGCTTCTCTGTCCGTCATCATAGGAGCTCCCTCCTATCGATCGTGTGCTCTCGAGGAGCAGCATTTTGATACTTTTATATACGATGCGCTTTGTAACCGAGGCGGCGAATGTAATACAGGCGATCGAGATCATTTTCTAATGATTTTTTGTGATACCTTGAGTGTCTTTTTGCAAGAAATATACTTAAGAAGACGAACATTCGCGGGCAACCGCATTGCGATATGATAACGTGAGGTACGATTAGAACGTGGCGAGGTTTCCGTCTCAATTGATCTCGGATACGCTTTTATTACATTCGGCTTCACTAGTGATAATTACATGAATCTTGATATGTCGCTTGGATGAACGTGGCATGGACTGGATTGCAATAAAAATCCTTGAAAACCACGCTTTTGCCGTACGTTTAACATAATTTCGAAGCGATAAACCATTCCTAGTAACATACTTCATTGGCGTTACATTTGCTCAACATTGACAGGCCAATGTTGACAGACATCGGTATATTGAACCTTGAGTCTCGAACCCGTCACTAGGTACATACAACAGCTGTCGTATACTTTTAGATTAGGCCGTTCTGAACAAAAAAAGCTCTGTACCATTTTGCAAATAACACGCAAATTTTTGGATTATTAATTGAAGAAGCCTCTATACATGGCCATCATTAATAACTCGACATTTTGCGTGGTCGTTTGCAAAATGGCACAGGACTTTTCTACTCGGTTTAACCCGTTCTATCTGCACACGGCCACTCAGTCAAAACTTTCTGGACACTATGTATATACAGGGTAACATTGCCTTAACACTTTTGTATGATTAATAATTGGTGGAGTCGATCGCTCTAAGAAAACATAGAGAAACCTTAAAAAATTCGTTGCATTTTTCAAACATATGGATGCACCAATGTGTAATGATTAATATCAGTAATCTATTTCTCTCATATTATTACGCGGAAAAGTGTTAAGTGATGTTATCGAAAAGTGAATATTTTATGAGATATTTCATATCTTGTATACTGAAAAATATTAGAATAGTACTCTTATACATAGAATGAACAGAGAAATCGATTTATATTAAAACAGCTATATGATTTCACTTAAAAAAAATGAAGTTGACCTTCATGTGATTTTGATGTCTCCATGTAGAAAAAAAAATTAGATGACAAGAATATAGCCCCTTCAAAATCATTTAACTTTTGTTTACAAAATTTTTCTGTAAAATCGATATTTATTAAGTTATTTTAGATGGCAATTTCAAGTACTTCATCCTGTATATGTGTCGCGGATGGATGTATATATATATATGTTTTGCATAATTATCTTTTAATCATAGATTAAATTTATGTGAAATAATGAAAAGATAGTCTTTTATAAGAAAATACCGACTGTTTTGTGCTCAGAATTTCATATCAAAAAGGAAATACTAGTACTCAGAGACATGAAAAAATATTCTGCTGACATTATTTTTTATTTTTCTTATTCTATATTGTAAGCAGTTCGCAATAATTGTAATACTGACAAATTATTTTAACTTTTATAAAAAAGTTAATACATACATTTCAAAATAATTAGTTTAAGTTAAAAATAAACTCACTTAATATTAACTAAGTTAAATTAAAGGTTATTAACTTTTTAATTTAACTTTTAACTTATTAACTAATTATTATTTTATCCTGATAATATTTGATTTCATTTGGAAGTATGTGAAAAATGTTTTAGAAAATCAGAATGTATCGTGTACGATACATTTTATATAATTTATGACGTGGCAGCTTTGTGGGCGCTCGTCAAAAGTGAGTGTCTCCGAGGAGACAATATCGTGCGGGTTATGCTTCTCGTGATCACGCGTTTTTTCCGGAATTTAGATTATTTAGCGGAGACCATGCACCTTTAGTGTACAGACCTCTTACTGGTGGTCATCGCGTTCTCAAATATATATCGTCCAAGCTCCACCCGGCGGCAAGAAGACCGTGGAGCAGTAAGTACAAAAAAAGTAAGCAGAGGAGCGCCGACGCTGAGAACGCCTCAGGATAAAACCAGGTGACCCTTCATATTATCCATCATACCGTTAATATTAACGCCGGATTAGGCGTCAATGCCCATAGTTATTGGTGTTTTCTAGTTGTCCAGAGACGGCGGAAAAGATGCCAAAAGTAAAGAGACGTCAAAGATCGTGAATCTTGAACAGTTCAAAAATTTGCACGTTATTTGCAAATTTCATATTATAAGCAGCCTACAATGATTTTAATATTGATGAATTACTTTAACTTATATATATACATATATATATATATAATGTTAATAAGTTATAGTTAATGCATTTTAAATAAACTAAGTTAGAAGTTAACTCATTTAAAATTAACAAAGTTAAATTAAATGTTGTTAACTTCTTAATTTAAATATCACTCAACTCTGGATCTGTTCCTTTGCAATTATACTTTACCGTGCTTTTGAGCATTTAGCACTAACACGGCAGCACATCACCGTATATCAATTTGTCACGTTCCTTCTTCTACTTAGAGCGCGCAACCATCCGTGACATTTCAACCAAGAGAGACTTGTCGGAAATCTTGGTGGAATTCCCCAGATTTTTGCGACGTATAATTACAAAACGCGTCTTCCACGGCGGCTATTCGCGTGAGCTGCGCTCCGCAAAAAAGTCGACACGCGCGAATGCACCGAGCCAAGTCTCTTCGTTCGCGCGGCGCGGCGCGGCTCATGCAATAGCGCACGTTCTCCGCTGTTCGCTACGATTGCACGCGATAATAAAGTGTTTGCCCTCGGGGCACCGATGAGATAATACGCGATCGCCAATTTTTGCCGAGGCCTTGGCTTCATCAATGTCAGTTGGCCAGAAGGACGATAACGAGTTCGATAGTGAGAGAGCCGTGTCTAAACGCCTGCGATTACTCGTCTTATTTAAGAGGCGCGTATATTTATATCACGATACGGGCGATGCCATTAACTGATACAGATGATGTTAACGCAATGACGAAGAGTACAGCGGCTAGTGAATGTGATTCGCGAACATCAGGGAGAACCGCGCTCGAAGAAATTTATTAAGGGGGGAGTACACAGAGGAAAATATGATTCTATCGCTAAGAAAAGCGAGATTACTCAGTTTGCTTTTCTTCTTTTAAGTGATGGTTATCTTCAACAAAGAATATTTTCCTGATAATAGCTTACTTATTCAAAAAACGAATTTATTTTCTTTTCAACAATATTATCAACTTTATTGTAGAAAAGTTAATTTGAATAAAGCAATTCTTGATTGAAGTACTACACTTATTAGAATTCAGAAGATATTTTGAACAAATTTGATGTTTATGATGAACTTATGATATACTTGCGGGTAAATAAATTTGCGAATATTTGAAACAAATAATATTTACTTGAATACAGTATATCTTTTTCTTTATGTAGGAAGGTTTAAACTAAAACTGCCAGATCGTGAGATTTTTGGACAATTCACGTGATTTCTAGAAATGCATCAATCAGAACGTATTTCTAGCACACAAGAATCCAGCACAAAAACAAGCAATGTGTGTCAAAAGTCTTATATTCATGTAGCATTAGATAAGCCTCTTACTACGCGAATCACGACCCAGAATTCCACAATCTGGTAGCTCTGATTTGAACTTATGAAAAGTCTGTAATTATATTTGACTCGTTATTATATAAGTGTAGGAATTAACTGAATATAAAATCTTTCTTTGTAACTATTTATATATGTTTGTTTATTGTTGAAGTCGCGAAACTTCTGTTTTATACTATATAATATTAAAACAAAACGTCGTACAGAAAAATATTGTATTAACAAAAAATGTTTATTTCGAAGTTCTCTATTTCCCTTCAAAGTTTGCCGGTCTAATTTTGTAACACCCTGCATAATAGGATAAATTCTGTATAGTAAGATAAAAATATAACTTACAAAAGGATTTTTTGTATATTCAAATTAATATATCTATCATCAATTTATAGTAATTCAATTCATATATCTATCATCAATCTATAGTAATAAGTTGAATTTTATCGACTTTTCACAGGTTCAAACCTCTCTGGCCTCCTTAGTTTATATCGCGATTCATATCTCAATATTAAACTCGAAGATCAATCCTACTTGATTCGACGTGTCGTTCATTAGAAACTTCATAAATCTACTACAAATTTGTATTATATATCACAACATGTTATATAAATTATCCTTTAAAAAATATTAAAAATGCTATAAAATATTGTAAAAAAAATTACTAAAAAATAAATAAGTCAAAATAAAACATGCACCGTCAAAAAGAGAACTTGTGAACATGAGCGCACTTCTTCATTCCTCTCCCTTCTATTTCTCCATTTCCTCCTCGTCCATCAGTTCCTCGTCCTCTGCCTTCGCGTCCTGATACTGTTGATACTCCGACACCAGATCGTTCACGTTCGATTCCGCCTCGTTGAACTCCAACTCGTCCATGCCTTCGCCGGTATACCAGTGCAGGAAAGCTTTCCTTCTGAACATGGCGGCGAACTGCTCCGAAATTCTCTTAAATAATTCTTGAATAGCCGTCGAGTTGCCGATAAAGGTGGAGGACATCTCAAGACCGCGAGGCGGGATATCGCAGACGGCAGTCTTTACGTTGTTTGGTATCCATTCGACGAAATACGAGCTGTTCTTATTCTGGATGTTGAGCATCTGCTCGTCCACCTCCTTCATGGACATTCTGCCGCGGAAGACCGCCGCGACGGTGAGGTAACGACCGTGACGAGGATCGCAGGCCGCCATCATATTCTTCGCGTCGAACATTTGCTGGGTGAGCTCCGGTACGGTAAGCGCACGGTACTGTTGGCTCCCTCGAGATGTGAGCGGCGCGAAACTGGGCATGAAAAAGTGCAAACGTGGGAAGGGCACCATGTTCACCGCGAGCTTCCTCAGATCGGCGTTCAATTGGCCAGGAAATCTGCGATTATTTGAGGAAAAGGTGCTCTCTTAAACCGAATCGGCTAAAATGCCACTGATTAAATCAATAAAATAGCATGTCTATATTTATAACTATATTTTGTATTTATTTCTATATTTATAATTATGACCCTCAGTGATTATTGACTACTATTCAATAATAAAACACCGATTGCATTTAAAGAGTGTTGGAGCGATATATTGCAGGAAAAATAAGAATACAAATTAGCTTCTCTGTTATACTTTCAGTTTCTAAATAGACTTTTCAATTTCTCATTATCAAGTCAAGATACATTAGTCAAAATGATAATCTGATGTTTCTGTCCTACAGACCTGAGACAGGTTGTCACACCGGACATGGTAGCGGAAACCAAGTGATTCAGGTCACCGTATGTAGGAGTGTTCAGCTTCAGAGTACGGAAACAAATGTCGTAAAGAGCTTCATTGTCGATGCAATAAGCTTGATCCGTATTCTCCACCAGTTGGTGCACCGACAAAGTGGCATTGTAGGGCTCCACAACGGTGTCGGAAACCTTAGGGGAGGGTACCACAGAGAAAGTACTCATGATCCTGTCCGGGTATTCCTCTCGGATTTTTGTGATGAGCAGAGTGCCCATTCCAGAGCCAGTACCGCCTCCCAGTGAATGTGTAAGCTGAAAACCCTGAAGACAATCGCAGCCCTCCGCCTCTTTCCTCACTACGTCGAGCACCGAATCGACCAATTCGGCTCCTTCCGTGTAGTGACCCTTGGCCCAGTTATTGCCAGCTCCTGATTGTCCGAATACGAAGTTGTCTGGTCGGAATATCTGGCCAAACGGGCCTGAGCGCACAGAATCCATCGTGCCGGGCTCAAGGTCCACAAGAATCGCGCGAGGTACGTATTTCGGTCCAGCTTGATTGTAATACACGTCGATCCGCTCCAACTGGAGATCTGAGTCCCCGTGATAGGAGCCTGTAGGATCGATGCCATGCTCATCCGAAATCACCTCCCAAAACTAGGGATTGTTTAAAATTACTGATTTATTGTTTGATAAAGGTAGAACTAGGAAAATAATAATGTGACAATTAAAAAAGTAAAAGTTATTAAGTAATTAAAGAAAAAAGGGAAGATTGATTTTTTTAAAGAATATAATGTCAGGTTTCATATTATTTTATAAAATCTTGTATTACTTCTCATCTTATTTTTTTGATTACTTCAACAGAAAAGTTAGAAGGAAGTTATCTTAATAAAGAAAACAAACTTTTAAATTAATCTACTATTTAGGAAATTAGATTTTTAATTACGAATTGCTCTCTATTTTGTGTCAATATTTTTTTAAATATTTGTAATTAATTTTAAAAAATCTAAAATAAGAGTTCTTAAAATACCTAAAATTGCAATTTGCGAATATTATTTTAATATAGAAAATACTATAATAGATCGATTGATAAGTTTTTGAATCTTTACTGACATAATCGTATTATCATTATCGTATTTTTTATTTTGCCTATATGAATACTAACCTTGGCTCCAATTTGATTGCCACATTGACCAGCTTGGATATGAACAATCTCACGCATTTTGTATCAAGTCTAGTTTGAAATTTTAGGAAGAAATGGTTTTACGAAATTTAACGGTGACAACCCTAAAGATTTTAAAGAGATTTGATCCTCGGAAAATTTAAGGACGAGGAACATGGATATCGAGGACTTATCTAAGATGTCATTCAAACAGAAACAGGTGACTACCAGGTTCCCCTTGGTGATATCTGATATCGATTAATTCCTCTATAGACGATTTCCACAGGGATAAAAAAGAAAACCTAAATTTCGTCTGATCGTACGCGTATTTCTCTACTGTGTTATTATTTCATCGTACGGTAGATAATCAATAACCTTGCTCTCCATTTCGGCGACTGAGCAGCCTCGGACTTAAAATATTGATCGGCAAGGTTTCACAGACGGTTATCATAAATCACCGTCAATAGAGATACTTGAGATATTTTATTCAATCTAAGTGAAATCACAACAAGATTCTTCTTCAATAACGCAAGAACGAAATGCAAAATCGACATCTAACCGGAAACATAAAAAAGTCTAACGTTACGTTCTCTAAAAGTCCCACGGAACTCGAGTGCGTTAATCCTTGACCCACACGTAACATACACGCACGCATTGCGACGACAGTTAACAGCACTTTCTTGCGACACAAGGAGGGAAACAAGTACCGAACCGTCTTAATCGACAAACACCGACACACAAGGCAGGTTTTACAAAGGAAGTACATTATAATAAATGGAAAAATAAATACAATGCGTGTCTATACTGGTAATTATAATACAACACGTGGTAAGGTGCTAGGTAATAAGACTGTCTCTCTCGTTGTCTCATTGCGACTTCTGGAGGCACACGTTCACCTCCACTACCGCGCTGGACATCTTCGGCTCGACGACGGTCTCGACGAAGGTCTCGTCCGTCAGCTCCTCTTTGGATGTACTTAAGTTCTTCGCCCCTTCTTCTTCTTTCGAAGGCAGCACGGCAGCTGGCTTTTCGCCTTCCGGCGTAGTCGCGGCTTCCTGTGTCGCGACCTTCGAGGTAGACGAGCGACTGCCCGGTTTGCCGTTCACAAACCTCAGTGGCACGGTCTCGGTCCTGCCTGTACCTCTCCTAATGCGTGCAGATGATTTTGTGCGTAAGAAAAACAACGAAATTGATTAATTGCAGCTTAACAGGGGAGGCGGAAGATCATATCGTAAATCGAATTACGCGAAAGTAATTTGACCTCTTCGAGAAGTAATCGAGAAATAACACGGATCTTTGTTTGTTGACTTATTATAGTGATTTCGTAATATTTGAGACCTTTGATGGAAATATTTTATTGAAAATATAATGAAAATTTGCTGAAATGTATTTGAAAATCTCTCTCAATTGATCTCATTTTATTATCATTTCATTAATATTTCAGTAGAAAATTATTTTAATCGATGTTTCAGTAATTTTTCTTTAAAAAGCTACGTAATTTTCAATTCACTAAATTTTATGATACCTGATATTTCTGAATTTTTTAAATAATTTTTCAATATTACTTTTCAACTTTACACTTTTACTTTCCTTATATCACAATCTTTATTTCACAGTATTATATTGCATTTCATAAAAAAAATTATATAAATATTCTTAATAACTTTCATTTCTCTTTTCATCAATTTCATAGTACTTCATAGTACAGCAAATTATTTTTATCGGAAGGGTCTTATGAAATAAAATTAATTTTCCTTTTGTTAAGGAAAAATGTCGAATTTTTCGTCATTGAAGTTACTAACCTCGGTATTGTTGGGCAGGACCACAGTTTGAAGTCAGCCCCGAAGAGCTCACCCTCTTCGATCGTCTGTGGCAAGTGTATATTGAGCGTCTCCGGGAGGAATACGGACGTGAGTGCACCGGCAACGCTCAGCGATCCCATCACGATCAACGGAAGGACCCTCGAGTAGACTGCTAGGTGAACGATGTAGGGAAAGGTAAGGAGGCCGATGCCGGCGATAAACGAGGCTATGCCCATCGCTTGGGATCTCAGTACAGTGGGCAACAACTCTCCCACAAAGACGTAGAAGACGGCGAAGGATGCAGCGATGCCGAACTTTCCGATCATCGCCAGACATACCGTTACCCAGACCGCGTCTGCTGCGACAAAGGTCGATCGTGTGTAGAAGATGCTCAATGGGATTTGAATTTTCCAAAATTATTTACCACGACAGAGAGAGAGAGGCTAATGATAATTATAATATATATATGATAATTTTCTCTCTACAAATAACATAAATGTTTCTTAAAATAAAACAGAAAATAATTCGTGTAAATTCTGTTACTGTCTTTTTTAAAAGAGGCAAAACTTGAGCTTTACAGGTTTTGTGACAGATTTGCATCTGATGGGCAAAGCTACGCGTACAGTGCGATACTAATTTATTAAGCAGGTCGAACATTTACTCATGGATGCCCATGACGTCGGTGCAATCGACGAAACGGTAATTCCCGCTTACGTTGTGTGATATCACAATCGCCATCATGACGAATTCAATAAGTTAATGACGTTGGGGCCGCCGTGACGCAGAGGCGCGATTCAACTTAATACTTTTATTCAATCCCACAATGATAATCAAATAATATGAAGATGAGCAACGCGGCGCTACAAGTGGTCATTTCCACTTGTCCCTGGTGAAAATTAAATTTTGTGTATTACACACACAAGGATTATACATATATATTTCATAAATATATATTCTGATACGTCATGCAGTTGTCTGGAAACTGAAAACTTAATTCAAAAAATTCGTAGGCAAAGTGTAAAGTATAGGTATGTGCAGGTATTTATGGTAACTTTTTTAAATACTTAAATAGAAATATATGTGCCCGTAAAAAATAATTTCGACGGATAAATTATTCTAAGAGATGACGTTGTTTGACTTTACTTGAAATTTTTATACAAAGTTAAATGCAAATCGACAAAATAATACCTTCGGGCACGAACATGCAGGATACGCAAGCGAGTCCTCCCAACAGCATGGTCAAACACAGTACCCATCTCCTGCCCAAGCGATCCATCGCGTACCACGTGAGAACATAAGATGGAATCTCTACGATGCCGCCTATAACAAAAATATAAAAAGAATGACCTATTCGTTTTAGAATTAAGAAATTCTTTTTCCCAGCAAACGTCGAATAACTTTGCACCGATGTTATAATTTCTAACTCAACAATGTAAAAGCAATATAACACTATACATAAGACTATTGTTGAGTGGGAAATTATAAAATTAATATAATACTGTTACTTGGTGTTTGCTGGGTTAGTTCTGCACAAGCAACAAGTTTGTATCGCGCGTATATATCGTTGGGAATGACGTTTTTACCGATAAAGAAGGCTAGATAATCGGAGACACCCAGATTGGTCGTGTTATAGGACAGACCATTATACACCACCGCATTCGCCACCCAATCGAAGGCAAGAATAAAAAACTTCTTCCTGATGTTCGGATTCGTGATCAGGTCCATGGGCGTCGCAGACATCGGCGGCGCTCTCTCCTCGCCCTCCACTTCGATGTTACTGTCGTTGGTGTTCTTACCGTTACACGATATTCCTTGTCTTTTTAATATTTCCACCTGCAAATAACATATTCATACGGTATTAGGCGATCCCCTTTTACTTATGCTGCTATCAAGGAAGGTATACTGAAATACGAATACTGAAAAATATAAGCAAACGCTACAATATGAGAATTGCATATTTGATGCTCATTAGAAGAAAAGAATAATCAAATGTAATCAGTAGTTTTACATCAGTAAAATGTCAATCAATAATTGCGTAAAATTTAATTCGTAAAAATTTCACCGGTAATATTTAATCAGTGACTTTTATTTTCTTCGTAATCAGAAATTAACAGTCGTATCGTGAAATTTTTCACAGAAAACTTCGAGAACGTGGGAATTACCTCCATCTTCCTGAGAAAATTCGTGGGCACTGTCCTGCCGTTGACTTTCGCCATGTGTTGGACAATTACCTCCGCTTCGTCTATTCTGTTTTTACTGAGAAGCCACCGCGGTGACTCGGGGATGATCCAGTAATAACTGAAGAGAAGAATAAACGGCACCGACGTGGCTAACGATAGGGTGTACCAGTGCCTTAACAAATAACCCTGACAGAAAGATAATATAAAAACATGTACTGTGATCATACGAGTGAAACGATTTTTGTATTACATAGATTCTCTATCAATACAATATACATTAACATTAGAAAAATGAGACGGAGCTTTCGTCATTTATTACAATCATCATCCTAAAAAGTCCACTAGTTCCTAGAAAAGTTATAATAAAAAGAAAACTTTCCAGCAAGAAGATTGATCGCAGATTGCGCGCAAATTGGCAGCAAATTTGATTTCAGAATCTCACAAAACCATAGCCATCATGACATCCGTATTCAGCTCGTGTTTTGGCGACAGAACCTGCTGACAAGCAACCCGAGCAGATTGACAATAGAAACCGTGCAGAACCTGCTGCCAAACTATGCGCAACAAGATTTGCTCGATTTCTGCTATCAATCTATCATCAGATCACTATAGATTACGCTCGATTTCTGCCACCGATTTGTCGTCAGATCACTACAGATCCTGTTCGGTTTCTGCTGCGAATCTGCTCGCATTGCCTGTCGGCATGTTCCGTCATATTTCTAGCGGCAAATCGTTTGTTAACATAGTGACCGCAAAAAGATTTGTTGTTAAGAGTATTAATTTTTCGTTATACCAACTAAATTTTATCACTGCCGCAAAAACGTTTTGCTACAACAGCAAAATTACTTTTCCATGTAACAAATCTTTTTATTGGCACTATATTAACAATTTGCTGTGCCAATAAAATTTTTTCTCTGTGCGCGATAGACAATTTCATCCTCCCGCAGTAATATTGACTATATTAATATTGACAATATTAATATTTAAATAGTACTAGATCATCCATGTTTCGACTCTTTACGGACTCATATGTTCTTTCTTTCATAAGTTTTGTTCGTAGTATTATAATAAGTTTCAATTGTAATAGTTCGTATTATTATATATAAGTTTTAGTCGTAATTATAATAGAATTATAAATATAATTATTTATTTAATAATTTCTATGTTCCATAATATTTCAAGACACTTGTTAACACGAAATGTTGTCAAGTTCATTGTCATAAAAGCGAATATACAGGCACCGAGGACTTCATTTAAAATTTATCTGCGTGCTCGGTAACGTGGCGCGTGTGTCGCTTTGGAGACATCTGAATGCAGAATGTTTCTATTTGCATACAGCGAACGTGACCGGCCGCTCGCATTTGCATACGCTCGCTCCGTATGATACACGCTGATGGATCGCTTGCAAAATGATCCGCGTTGCACCCTCCCGTTAAATTTATTGTGAGCGCGATCTCCGCTCAGCTGCCGCGCGATAACGCGAGCCGCTTCGCGCGATAATGCGCTAACTTTTGAGACGTTCGCAACGTCGAGGTTTTTCGCGGGAGGCGGGTGTCGCCCTCGTCATTCCTTCGTATTTTACGAACGACCGCACTTACCAACAATGCTAGAAGAGACATCGCCGAGGCAAAAAACATGCAGATTACCATGCCGGCAAATGTCCGGTATCTCGGTCCCATCAGCTCGAGAGCTACAACACAATTCACCGTGCACGAGTGTCATTTGCTTCAACGTCAATTTCAACATTTCAATTTACCATCATATATCTGTAGTACTGGGATTCTGCCGGAAACTCGAAGGTGGTGTGTAAAGCCGATTTGCGTATTACGTACCTAATATGAAAGGTATCTGGTAAATGGCAGGAAAAAAGAGACCATTCACAGTCCTCAGTGCAGTGTAGATCACGTAGTTCGGACTGAAGCTCGTGGCGATGGAGAATATCACCTCGAGGAACAGGATGGCGAAGAAAGCCGTCCTTCTGCCCCATTTGTCGGCGATCCATCCGAACACAACGTTCCCGAAGAGACTACCGACGTAAAAGAACGTAGTCGACGTGGAAGGCCACCAGCTGTTGTCACATACCAGGTCTAGCTATGTGGATGTAGAATGCCATTAAACTACTTCGCCAGCGCGAGCTGGCATATTGAAATGTAAAAATAACGCGATAAGATCAATCACAGCAAATATAAATTTATAAAAGTAAGTACGCTATCAATATTAATGAAATAAATATATAAAATAAATGAGTAACAGTTTTTGAAATAAGAGTTGTAAAAGCAGAAACCGAAAGTAAAAGATAGAAAATTCGCCGATGGAACGCCATTTGCGCCTCACATGAAATATGACGGGACTTAACACATCCTCTCTTTTACGGAAAATATATGAAGTGTCCATAATTCATGGAGTACCGTTTGTGTGCAGGTAGAATGAGTTAAACTGAGCATAAAAGTCCAAGTTAAAAAGAGCAGCAAAGTCGCAAAATTTCGAGTTATTAATCATTGAAAATGGCCATGTATAGAAGCTTCTTAATTAATAACTCGAAATTTTGTGCGATTGATTACAAAATAGTAGAGAACTTATTTGCTCAGTTTAACACATTCTATCTGCACGCAAGCGATACTGCATGAATTACCGGACACCTTGTGAATACGTTATCATACAAAGAGATATCTTTATTATTCCATGATAATTGCTCGAGAAGAGTTGGGAGAAAGCGTACTTCAGTTAATCTAGAAGTGTCTACAAAATTTTCATTGTTCAATCGAGAAGTGCTGTTGGGAAAGACAAAAATGCCGAGTGGGGGAGTTAAAATGAGGCCATCACATAGTACGGAAAACACAACAAACGAGATTACAAATATCGACTGCATGGAGACTTAAGAGGGTGAGTGATATCGCGGTTAGCCCGAAGAAGTCATTGCACCGATCAAAGCGTTATTATTCTTCCTACATGAGCATGTGTCCGCGATACGCAATGCGACACGCGCAATTACGGTCGTCGCGAGACTGTTCGCGGTTTTAATGACCCTTCAACCACCGAGAACTTGCGATTGGCATATTTCCTAAGATTTGCATCACGGTATAAGAATACGAGACACAGCGAATTGAGAACGCATGTACACTCGTTCAAATTAAAAGAAGCTTTTAAACGAAAGACAGAAGACTTTTTGCCGAAGAGTTCGGATATAAACATAAAAATTCAATGGAATCGATATATTACGATGATCTAAACGTTTTCATCCAGCAACGATTAAACAGAAATATAAATGCGTAATAATTTATCGTTGCAAATTGAAAAATGCCGCTTTAGTTTTAAATTAAGTATTGGTTCGTAAATGTGGAAAATAATCTATAATAATTAGAGGAAAAACGCCTAAACTGATATAAGTATGGTAAATCAATATTCATGTTTTTCTAAAATAAGTTATATATAAGAAGGTTAAGAAATTCTCTCACTACTATCTATAATGCAATGTAACTTAAACATGTACAATCTTATAACTAAAAGTCTGAAAAGTATTGGTGTCTTGAAGCATTTTACTAGGGGAGATAGAACAGATTATATGTTGGATTTGTTGCCTTCCCTTACAGAAAAATATTATCATCTATGATGAATTAACCAGTAATAAATTACTGTTGCTCAATAATTTATCACTGGTCAATTTATCATAGACAATAATACTTTTCTGTAAAGGATTTTGGCAGCAAAAATTTGTAACAGGCTCTGCTCAGAATCTGTTTGCGCAGATTTGGCTATCTAGGTAGAAGCAACAATCTTCGAATATCTTAAAAGATAATTTGCACGAAGCAATTTTCATAGGACTATCATATATTTTGGTAGAGAAATGTTGCTGGTTTACATACATGTGCATAAATTTTCTTTTTATACTTTCAACATAAAACTTCAGATTCTAAAACAAAGTGGTATGTCGGCTTCTTTGGTGTTTTTCCTCTGCATTACATACATTTCTAATAATTTTAATGCGACTTGAGAACGACTTGTGAATCCCTAAGATTCCTAAGATTGATTCAATATCAAGATTCTAAGATTAAAATATACCTAATCATATATTTTTGCCGGAGACAGATCTACGAATGATCACGGCGTTTGACGCTGAGATTTAACAGCAACTGTCACAAAGCACCCAGTACAACCGCACGGTAGCGTATGTGCGGCGCTATTAGCGGCAAACCGGAGTGCGTGCTCGCACACGTGTGAACACACGCGTCATCGTCGCTTGGCCGATCGTCATTTGTTCGTCAATCCAGCATCGGCGACAGAGCGCGCGTACGCTGAAGAATGGAGCAGCGAAGGGAAGCTGAAAGAGTGGGAGGGATGATGCTGGATCGGCGCGATGGTGGGGGCGTTTCATCTCGTTTCGTTTACGCAGGAGGCTGCCGACGTAAACGCGCTCATGTTTATCGCGAGCGGGGGAGGGCACGCATGTGCGTGTGCTGGTTATACGGAACTTTGCACGTAAATCTCAAGCTTATATGTGGTTGCACGTGTATGCGCCCATCAGAAGGCCTATAAGGTGTATTGGTAAGCTCCCACAGTGAGAGGTGTCCATCACCCTCGTTTGACAGGAGGAACCCGGTCCCCTCCCCCCCCCACACGCCCTTTAAAGACCCCCTTCTCTAGCAATCTCTCTACATCGCTCTCTTTCTCTTTTTCTCTCTCTCCCTCCTCCCCTCCCTTACTATTCTCCCCTCTCTGGGCCCTCCTCGTTCTTCTGTAGCACGACTTGCGGGTACTCGCGCGGCGAACCGGACGCAAACATCTCGATGAGCTTAAGTTTGTCAGTGTGGATAGTGATTTTGCAGATGATGCTTTTGCAGGTGATGCGATTCGCGATGTGTTCCATACGGCTGCATTTTAATGTGAGAGTAATTGACGGTTTAAAGCGAAGGACGTTGATTGAATTTTCGGGAAATTATTTTTCAAGTCGCTATTTCCGAATGTACTCGCACATACTCGAGAGAATTTACGTGTGCATAGAAATTAGTTTGAGAATATTTGAAAAAATCGTTATTATAGCGTACATCAACAGCTAATAATAATATGATAAAATAATATAATAATATGATAAAAATATTTTAATGTATTTATTAATTTATATATCAATATTCGGAGTAAAATAAAGATTAGATTCGGTGAGATTAAACGACGATCGATGAATTTCAGTCAAATTTACAAGAAAGAACTTTTTCAAAAGAGTATCGTTGATTATACTCTGAGAGAAAAAATATTTAAAAAATAAAAGATATTTATTCGAGTGGATGCCACTAATAAAATATTTTCTTATATGAATGTTTCTACACTGAGAAAAAATTGTTCTCAAATGTAAAAATATACATTTTCTTCAATCTATAGCTTTTTAGGAAAGCATTGTTTATTCTATTTAAATAAAAGAATTTAGAGAGATTCATATAAATATATTATTAGTACTAACCAAATAAATACTTTTTTAGATATCTCTCTTTTCTCTCAGTGTATGGGTTTTCTTAAAGAGCCCACTTAGAGGGCACACATCATACATACATAACTCTATGTTCGAAAGGAAAATCAATATTTTCACAACAATTACGAAATGATGCAGCTTGAATCGATGGAAATCTCTTGTTCGTGTATTTTTCGTAAAAAATCGTCTCCCTGAGAAATCACGAGGACAAGATTGCATTCAGAACAAGAACTTATGACAACAACGCGATGCATTTCGCCGAGGATGCAATTAATGTGTCATTAGCAAAAGCAACACGCACGGCGAACGCGACTCTGAATCAATAAATACATTCGCGCAAACGACATCGCAATCGAGTGCCTATTAGCCTCAGCAAATAAAGTTCGCCCGTAGGTGTTAATGGCTTTGACACGGAGTTTGATTTAAGCAAATTGCCACTCACGGACTTTCGTGATTTGCACGAAACGCGCGAAAAAGATAAATTGCGCGGAAAGACAGCAGTACTCACTAACGATGCTATCGAGTTATTGTCAAGGCCAGGGCACGCGCGTATAAGGACACCAATAACACGCGTGCATTTTGTCACCCTGACGCACTTCGAAATCATTGATATGACCGCGATGCTGTTCATTACCGCGACTATTTATGCGGCTCGATGTGCAAGTTCGACTTTGGCATCGGAATTGGATGCGATGTCACACTAGATGACTAGGTGACAGTGTTTCTAACGACGAAAATATCGTCGTTCATGTATTATTCCCTAGACGGTTCCTTCGTCGGTCTCATGTATTATTCCCTGGACAGAAAATTACATAATTTTCTGTCTTATATATAATCCATAACGTTGAAAATCGCATAACTTTAATTATAATGATGGGATTATAATGGCTCTAATTGTAACAATTTTGACCTCGTGTACATATATTTAAGTCTAAAAATTAATATTCTTGCTTATATATGAAAATATTTATCATTGTTTTAAAACTACTTCTTTTCTATATACTAATTTTTTTTCTATGCAGGCAATGGAAAAATCAATTACGCCAACGGAATTGTTTTTCTGTGTATATCAGCGTGGCAAAGTATGAATGCGATAATAGAGACAAATTCGAGGGCGCCGCCGGATGTATGAGAATCGCTCTCAAAATCTGACAGTTTATCATCAGCAGAACTTCGCGATATTCTGTCTGAAATTCATTTTTTCTCAACTAACGTCAAAATCCAGCTGAAGATTGGATCCCATTCGCTACGCGACATTTATCTACGACTGCAACGGCTGTATCTATGCGGTGGCTACGCGAGCCGCGTATTTACACGCTCCGGATTTACGCAGACTCATGACGCAAAGAGCCATCGAGGCAAATCCTGTCCTTCCGTTTTCCGTTCTTCATCGCTATCGCTTTCTACCGTACGTGAGCGTTCGCTGATGCGTTGTTACACCCGCTCGACGCAAGAAACTCGCGGCGTATTTTCACAGCGTGAATTTAAAGGCCGGATTTGACAGGGACGTTAATTGTCGCTGGAAAAATTATTACGTTTATTATCGCGCAAATAAACAAATTCGTTGCAGAGAAATCACAGCTGTCCACTTGCAATTATCATATTATTCCCACATATATTAGGATTTCGG